TTTCCCAGAGGGTCCGCACAATCCAACTCATAGCTATGGTGAGCCTGATGGTACTCTAAACAATAATCGCACTGCTTTTCGTTTCGTCTCAATCGGACTTTCCGTTGAGATTCTACGACGAAAAACAAGTCAACTCGACGAATCAAGATCACCCGCGCCAAGCGTCTTAGCTCACCGAACGTAGAGCTAAACCAAGCGTCTTAGCTCGCCGAACGTAGAGCTGAACCAAGCGCCTAGCTCGCCCAAGATACGCTGACTTTGCCCCAAGGGTTCTTACCATCCAGATCGCCACACGGCGAGCTGAAAGGGTTCACCCGACTAGCCCTACGTCAAGCTGAACCAATCCTCGAGTTTCTCTCTCGAGTCTTGATCGCGCTGATTCTCGTTTCGTCTCAATCGGAATTTCCATCAGGATTTTACGACAAAACCGCAAAGACTTGTTTCTTCGTATAAGTACGAATCAATCGTCTAAAACGGCAACGGTTGACTTAACACCAAAGTTGCCTAAACTATACGAGAAATCTGAACTCTCTAAACCCAATCCGGTTTTACGAAACTCTGCCACGCTAAGTCGAAAACATCCAATCATAAACAAGTGATTGATTTTTTCGATACACAAAGCGCACCTAGTCGGCCAAATAAAACCATCAGTACGAAGAAAAAAGAACATGAGATCCGATGGTTAAGTCTTCTCCCCGCTCCGATACTCTTGCCGGTAATTCGTCGAAGACCGGTAGGTCAAAAGACGAAGAACGAAGAATAGACGATCCCAAATCATCGATGAAACTAAGGTATGTCCGATTTGAAAATTTTATTAGACTTCTAATTTCTCGTAGGTAAGAAACGAAAACGTCTTGTAAACCGCCGTGAAACCTAGAGAACTTAAGATTTAGAGGATAGTCTAGCATGCTAAGTCGTAAGCAATTTTTGTCTATCTCGATTTGTTGTTCTCTAACCATTCAGGCATAACTCGCAAACCGATCAAATCTCTCGTACAACTGAGAAACGATCGCCACGCATTCGAATGTACTCATTTCCTAAAAGAAAGAAGGAGCTAGAGACGCTGACGTCGTCTTAAACCCGACTCGCTCCTAGAAATTTTCGTAAACCAGACATACTCTAAGTCATCGCCAATCTACCACAGTCTTTAACCAACCAGGATTATCGATCATCCGAATCCTTTAAAGGAAAATCGTCTTTTTCTTTTCGTCGAATATTTTCCCTCGCGTCGAGAAAACGCTTTCTATAAAGCAAACTCTCGCCAAAACAAGCAGAAAAATATTCGGACAATGCGACGCCTCGTAAAAATCATCACAAAAGCGAACGACGATCTAAGAACCGTCTAAACGCTAAAGACTGATCCAAAACGTCTGGGAAATAATCTCGAGGAATATACAGCATCTCTCGGCGCAATCATGCGGTTAGAAAATCTCTGCGAAACTTCAGAGCAAAACTCGATGATTTGCCGAAGTCATAAAGATGTTCTCGAACTTGATAAAACAAGTATAAGAATCAAAAAATTATACGAGAAATATTTAGGCATCGAAGCATTGATCTCGTTTTCCGTCAAACCAAGTGAGTCATGGAATAATGTCAAGAACATTTGTGGCGAAAGAAAAATCGAGAACACAAAGCAGCAATAGAGAACACGTCCTCCCTTCTCGCTGACTGATCCTATTGCTGATCATGTGATTCATTCCGTCCGAGAAACCCGCTGAAACATTTTGTGACTAGATCTCGGTGAAATAACTTTTGGTAAAACTCCACGAGTGACTCCGAAAAAACCATCACCGAAAAATCAAAAACTAAGCGGAAAGGTTTCTCAAAAAATCTGCGGAAACGTTGTTAACCCAATGCGTCGTGCCGATTTACTAAATTCATCGCTCGTTGCTTACGCGAGAAATCCTTTGTATAGTCAGGATCATGTCATAACGAAGTAACTTTCAAAGTAAACGTAACAGGTTTTGCAAAGAATACTTTCCTTACAGCGAAAACCAAGCTGAACGATCCGGCACTGAGCGACCAATCTAAACTTTGCTTCCTCGCGACACGATCTGAAAGATCTCACTCTTTAGCCATTCGGTTCACGAGCATCCGCTCCCGATTACATCCGAGAATGAGACCGCCCCGCAAACGACTCCGCATGGGCCCTGCATCGAGCTTCTTAGGATCTGTCTCCCTCGAGTTAAAAAGAAACAACTTCCATACAAAGGAAATTTTATATGAAACTTTCATCGTATAAATCAAACCTACAATGGAAAAACGTTTTCTATAACCTCGGGCATACTTGGCATATCAAGCTCGACAAACACTACTTGGCTATTGTCCGATCACGCTTCACTTCAGTGCCAAGTTTACAAACCGACTCGACCTTATCGATAGCACGAAAGTGTCATAGTCTAATCCTCTACCAAATGTGACTTTGGCTGTACGGCTGAATACAACCTTCACGCCGAGCCAACACATTCAACGGATAATGCAAACTTGTCGAAAATCGGCTAAGTTCTGTATTTTTATGATTCACTCTAAGTTCTGTATTTATTGCAAAACGGCTCGGAAAATCATAAAACGCGATAAAAGCCACTCGCGACTTTAAACGAAGTCCAACCCGAAGATACGACGACGTTTTGGCGATTTACTCGCATAAAGAAGATAAATGTCAAACTTGAAGATAAATGTCAAGTTTGAGGATAAATAGAAGATTTCCGCGGGAAAAAATGAAAGATCTAGATAAATGGAAGATTCCCATTAAACTCGAATATGGACGAAATGGAAAGACTAAACCGCCTAGGAAGGGAGTATATAAGCAAGAGGCATAGGGCAGAAGCTAAGGGACGAAATCCAGAGCTCTCATCTGAGACTTTTACAACTTTTCTAGACTTATAATTTTCCGCACTTAGAAACTTAGGCTTTTTCTCGACAAGTTCGGTTTCTATGACTGGCGCTCAATTACTAGACGAACTCGCCCAGGCAGTTCGATCTCTGGTCCAGCTCTACCAACTGAACTACGTTCGACTTGATCCTCGAAAGGGGTACGTAGGCAGCCTTTCGTAAGGTTCAGTCCGAAATAAGTCAAACCTTTTTTCCTATCTTTTTCCTTCTTTCGTTATCGAGCTGCGACTCGACTAGATCTAGGGTTTTATGTTTTTAACTCGCTGATGGCCCCTGCGGCCAAAGCCTTTGTAATTCCTTGTAATGATTGCAAAGCTATTACGCGAATCGGAAATAAGATCGACTTTCTTTATAAATTCGTTTTATTTCGTTTTTCATATTTTTCCGCTTTTATTTGGTTACTTGTCGTTGGCTTTCGCAGAGTCCGGTTCCTCTGGAAAATTAGGGTTTTCCTAAGTTTCCATATTTAACGGAAATCGACAAGTGTGAATTTCGGTTCCCACACTTACAACAAAATATTTACAGTCATAATCATAACAAAAAACTACAGTTTGCAAAAAAAAAAAAAAATAAAGGGTACAACTCATTTGGTAAGTGGTAACGCAAACATCATAATTTAGTTATTTTTGTCAAAAAAAATAAAAGCTGCACTATATTAATACTTTATTTTACTCAAGGATTGAATATATATAAAATATTATTGATTATATTTGCCTTGATTAACTTACTAAGGAATTTTCGGAATTGTAATACTATAAGATATTATTAGTTATATTTCACTAATACTGATACATAAAGTATACTATAAATTATCTGACGATATATTATAATATCACCATATTATTTTAAAGTTTCATGTTTATATATTAAATAATTTATAATTTTAATACAAATCTTAAACTGAATACACTTTCCATAAAAATTCATTCGGTTCACTCGGATCTCGTTTCTAATTCGAAATCGCATCTATCACAACTGTATCATACCTTTATTCACGGTTATTATTGATGGAAAACGTGAATTAATATAATGAAAACAACATAATACTTCCATATATGGGAATAAATGACTTAACATAGCTGATGCTCTTTTTAGTTTTTATACATTTGGAAAGATAAGCTGGCTATCGACTCATCCTCTAATAACAGCTACTTTAATTAATTGATGAAACATGTTTATCATTTACTTAAAAAGGTCTTTCATCAATTACGTTTGATTTTGAATTTTTATTCCTATAACACATATTTGGGAAAATATAATCTTTAAAGAAAACAATTAAGCGCTGGCGTCTTAACCTCCTCGCAACTTAGTTTTCAAACACTATATACCAATCAAATTTGGGAGAAATGAAAAAAAGGGGGGGGGGGTGGGAGTCTACTATTTTCATTTTGGTTAATATTGTTTAAGAAATCATAAATGTTTGATTGCCTAATTTATTTTGCACTCAAGTCATAGTTTAGAGACATGCTCAAGTCATGGTTTAGAAACATACATAAATTTTATTGTACGTGAAGTTTATGGTCATGAGATATCTAAAAATTACAATTCACATTCACATCAATAAAGAGGACGAAAGAACTTTGTTTTTTTTTTGGAAATTAATTTTTAATCACGAGATGTTCCAAGAGAGATAAATAAGTTATTTCTCTTGTTAAATTAAAAATAACCAAACGAGTTTCTCATTTTATTTCTTTTGTTATTATAATATAGTAATAATTAGGTAATTAAAGGTTGTGAGAATCAATAATGGAAGAGCTTATCGCATGTTTGCTTCACGCAAACAACTAAATGTTACAGAAAGGTGGTCTGCAGCACGCGCCTCTCACGGCGTGCCTCGGCATCTGCGTGCTTTCTTAACATTTAGACCAAAAAAAAAAATGTTACAGAAAGAGAAAAGAGAGAGAGAGAGGTCGTTTTTGTTAGCTTTGTCGTCGCGTGGCTTTAAAGACTTTCTTCTCTATACTCCCCTCTTTACGAAACCCTAATTCTCCTTCTCTTTCTCAATCTTCCTCTCTTCTCTACAATACCAAAAATAAAATACATAAAAAATTATCAGCAAATTAATACAAGAGAGAGAGAGAACGAGAACTCGTTAACGTGGGGCCATCATGAGCGGCGGTGGAGACAAAATCATCGCCATGGGAGGTGGAGGAGGAAGTAGCGGCAGTGGAGGACGAACTAGTGGCGGCGGTGGTGGTGGTGGGCCATGTGGTGCTTGTAAGTTTCTGAGGAGAAAGTGTGTTCCAGGTTGTATATTCGAACCGTACTTCGACTCTGAGCAAGGCTCGGCTTGTTTTGCGGCGGTACATAAAGTTTTTGGAGCCAGCAACGTCTCAAAACTTCTATTACACATACCGGTTCATCGGCGGTCCAATGCAGTTATAAAACTCGAGAATCGTTTTATAAAACCCGAGGATCATTTTATAAAACTCGAGAATCCGTTTTATAAAACTCGAAGATCGTTTTGTAAGACTCGAGAAGCCGTTTTATAAAACTCGAAGATCGTTTTATAGAACTCGAGGGTCGTTTATAAAACTCGAGAATCGTTTTATTAAACTCGAGGATCATTTTATAAAACTCGAGAAGCCGTTTTACAAAACTCGAAGATCGTTTTATAAAACTCGAGGATCGTTTTATAAAACTCGAGGATCGTTTTATAAAACTCGAGAAGCCGTTTTATAAAACTCGAAAAGCTGTTTTATAAAACTCGATGATCGTTTTATAAAACTCGAAGAATCGTATTATAAAACTCGAAGAATCGTTTTATAAAAGTCGAGAATCGTTTTATAAAACTTGAAGAATCGTTTTATAAAACTCGAGAATCATTTTATAAAACTCGAAGAATCGTTTTATAAAACCCGAAGAATCGTTTTATAAAACTCGAGAATCGTTTTACTAAAAACGGCATCGGATTAGGAAACGATCTCGTATAGTCGCAAAATGGATTTATCGCAAAACCGCTCGGAAGGTCCTAAATTGTGATAAAAGCCCATCTCGCGATCTTGACGAAATCTAACCCGAAGATACGATAACGTTTTAACGATTTACCCACAGAAGAAAGATAAATGTCAAGTTTGAAGATAAGTTTCAGGTTTGAAGATAAATAGAAGATTTCCGCGGGAAAAAGGAAAGATAAACACAAAAGGAAGATTCTCGATAAACTCGAATCTGGGCCAAATGGAAGGACCAAACCACCAAGGAAGGGAGTATATAAGCAAGAGGCATAGGACAGAAGCAGATGACGAGTTTTCAGAGATTTCACCACCAAACTTAGCATTTAGGAAAATTTCCGTTTTTGTTATCGAGCTGCGTCTCAACTAGGGTTTTCGGTCTTAGACTACTAGAGTTAGGGATTTCACCGACGGCTCACGCAGCTAAGGCCACTCTCGTTGTAACCTTTTTTACGCAGATTCGGAATAAGATCCTTCTTGCTCTCAATCTCGTTTACTTATACTTTAAATTCGAATTCATCGTTTTCTTATTTGTTCTTGTGCGGTTCCGCAGATAGCCGGGTCCTCTGGGAACTTAGGGTTTACTCAAAGTTCCCTTATTTACGTAATCTTGACAGTAGGTGAATTTCGGTTCCCAGAGAGGCCGCCCCAAGCCTTGGCAATTCCAGCTCATTATGCTCATTGGGACTTGGGCAATCCCTCATTTGGGATCACCTTTAGGAAAACAGCCTTGGTTGTTGATCTTACGTGTTCCCCCATCACTTCACACTTTCTCTTCTTGGCTTTTATCGATTGTTTCCCTTCCCTCTGCTCCACAAACTCAAGAGAAGTCTCAGTAGCTTCCTTGTATTTCCTTGTGAGTTTTTTTACAGCCTTGGAAGGTCTTCTGGGAGGTTTAAACTTTTTTCTGGCCACCCCGGATGAATTAGGTCCACGGAAAAACAACTGAAACACCATTGGGTAACTAGAAAACAAGGTAGAAGAGTTGGATTCACTAAATTCAAACCCGACCTCTCTCTCAACCATAGGTGAACTTCTGTCCCTATAAGTTTGAATAGCCGACGCTATGAGCTTGTGAGGATCAAAATTAACCAACTGTTTTTCCTGTTCAGCAATCTTCAATCCATAATCAAACACTAATCCTTTACCTTTATTAAGGTCCTTAGTAATCTTAGAGGGTGCTTCCAACCTCAGAGAAGATCTCTGCATTTCAGGATCACTCTCTGCTTCCTTCACTGACATAATGACTTTATCCACCTTAATCGAAAGGTCCTCCCTCGTGCTGGCCAACAAGTATCTCCTCATCTCTTCAAGAACCTCTTCTGTGATTCTAGGGTGACCTGTCACGGGATTGATGCCTACTTGAGATTCACACAACACACCAAAGAGTGGGTCTTGCTGATTTAAGACTGGATTTTTAAAGTCTTCTCTTCCTATATTTTACTTATTCTAGCTCTTGCTTCCTCTTGTCTCCTTTTCACCGAGAGAGGGCAAATACCCTTTCCATGGTTAAACCTTTCACGGTGAAGCATCTTTTCTGTATGCCCTCATAATCAAAGTGAATCACAGTAGATTTTCCTCCACCCAAATCAATCACTTTTGACATTCTCAGAAGATTGGCCACATTGAATCTCACTTTAACCCTAACAAAGGGCTGAGTGATGGGTTTCAAAGGGTCAAAAGCCACAAGATAACTTTACCGATAATGTCTCCCAGCGCTTAAGAGCTACATTAGTGTAGTGATTCACATGGATCTTACTAATTTGTACCCACAAAGGTATGTATTGCAAGTAATCCTCTGGTGGGTTCTCCACCCATCTTTCAAGGAAAATGACCCACTCATTGAAGGTTTGAACACCCTTCTCCAGCACATCCAACAGGTCATGTTCGTTTTGGAGTATAAACTGAAAGCGCTTCTGGGATAGAGCAACTCCACGAACCCTTCCTTCTTTCTCCCTTTTCCTCGACATCTTGTAGATCAACGTTGACATCATTTGACACTCTTGGTTCAAAAGTCTTCCCATAAGACTCAGATTATTCTACTCCGCCGAGCTGATACCAGGCAGGTCCGGCATCAAGAACGGAGTATCTTCCTCCTCCAGATTTAGAGCCATCATGGCTCTGTCCATTGCCACATACATTCTTTTATACCACCGAAATAACTCTCTTCTTACACCAAACTCTAAAACATAACCACTTTTCTCTTAAATGTTTGAAGAACTAAATAAAAACCGATAAGATTTTCGAAAAGCAAGCAGATTAGTTTCCCAAACCAATGTTATCCTTGACTTTTAAAATAGAGAACATGTTTTAAATTCTAACCACTTAATTGCACTCCCCAATGTGAACCTTGACTTAATATTTTGGATAATAAACTAAAGCCACTAGGGGTCGGCAGAGAGAAAAAACCTCTCACTAACCTCTCCATTGATATTTTAGTATAGTTTATATGTCAAATGAAGTTTATCGTATTTTTTTATTTGTAAAGGCCAGTATATTATCGTAATCGTGTTAAATGATTTAAAGATTTTCGGTAACTAGGAACAAATCCATCAATACAAGATATTCACCCGAGAGTTCCATATAACACTCTCAATATTAATTATTTTTCGACGAGTTAAGGGTGATTTCAACCTACTTTAACATGTGAAAATACTTTTTTCAAAAAAAAAAAAAAAACATGTGAAAATTACAATCTTTAAAATATGTATGATCATGAAAACAAAATTCGGCCATGAATGCATGAGTCAGCAAACAGTTCGTCCCACCATAAATTATAGTTTTTTTTAAGTGATTGATTAATCAATATATCGTCTAGTTGTATGATAGCATAGTAAATTAAAAATGAGATGATGTAAGAAGTAGAAGTGACATGATACCTCAAATCTTGGGGATATACAAAAAAAATCTAATTTTCTTGATTCTAACATTGGTTTTACAACTGGTATTATTATTTTTTTTTTTTAGAAAGGGTTTTACATTTTATTAAAAAGCCTTGAAAGGTAATAAGTTTGGGCTTCCCATTACATCAAAGTTTAATCAAAAGAAATTTGAGCATGGGCCAAGGCCCAAATGAAATGCAACTGAACACATAAATGAGAATTTTTAGTAAAGGGGAAAGAGGTAGAGTTGGCGATGATTACAAAGACTAGAAGATGGAGATGGCCGGAGATCAATTAGAGAAACTTGTTTGTATCATGAGTGAAGATGGCCTAGGATTTTGCTCACGGAAGCAAGGATACGGTTTCTGATTCGGGAGTCAGCTTGTTTTACCAATGATGAGAATGGTCTAAACTCCTTGCGATGCTGTTCATTGTTCCTCACTATCCACAGAAGATATATCGAAGCTTGCCAGGACAGAATAGTTATCAGACGGTGGTGTTTTGGGAGGGTAGATGATTGCATGCGATCCAAACCAACCGTCCAGTTCCTTGATGGTAACCAGTTTGCCCTACGACCTATTTCCGACCACAGACTCCAGGAATATGGGCATTCAAAGTTGAGGTGATCTCTCGATTCTTTGGAGTTGTTACACAAGATGCATCTTGGGTCCGTATGGATCCTCCAATTGATCATTCTATCTTTTGTAGGATCTCTATTCAAGACCATCAGCCAAGTTAAAAAATTATGTGTAGGAATACCTCTTGAAGACCAAACCACTCTACTCCAAGGAACAGTTTGTTGGTAGGGTTTGATTTCTTTGTAGATCATTCGCGTAAAATAGGTCATCATAGGGGATCCTAGCGGACACCAGGACTATACATCTTCATTGGTTGAGACGGTGATTGTGGAGATATGAATGTGGAGGTTGAGTTGTGGCTCTGAGCGTGGTTGTGGAAGGTGACAACTTCCATGTCTATGAAGGTCAGCTAAAGTCACCGAGGGTCTAATGCCTAAGCTTGTAGTTAGTGAGAGTTGCAGATAGTTCCTGAGATTCCCAAATGGACTCCAATTATCTGTCCATCACCTGTTTTTTGTACGATTGCCACATATTATCTTGATTCAGTTATAGACATAACCTTGGATTCAAACGATTTTCTTAGCTCCTGAGGTATGAGTTTGCTTTTCTTTGAGGGTCCACAGGTTGCTTAGGTCTCCAGATGGTGCAAGGCTGCAAGAATTGGTAATTTGTTACAAAGAACAAGGGTGCAAGAACAATGGTGCTAGAACAAGAGTTGAAGATAACAAGAAAGTACTTTTGAAAAAGCAACAATATATTCCAAAAATGCCACAAAAAAAGGAAACCAAAATTCCCATCACGATTAAGTAGAGCCCATCACTGACATCTTCCATCGACCTAATTATTAACTTCACTAATATTACTCATAGGTTGTTTCTTTATATATATATAT